GTATACCGCCCTTCTCCCATAGGACTCAGGGCGGTTCACAGCATATTAAAAACAAATAGTATACACAAAATACAAAAAATACAAAATACAAAAATACAGAAATACAAAAAATAAACCCCGATAAAAGCCGAATTAAAACCAAATATTACCAGCTGTGTTTCCGATTAAAATACTTTTAAAATTATCCCTACCTAAAATCATACCTTTCTCAGGCTCTGCAGCCTTGAAGACTGGTTCATACCTCTGGTTTCCGTCAAAGTCCTTCTAAGTCATCTCTACACGCCACACACCAATTGCCTATTTCCGCTCCCCTCTCCCCTAGCAGTGGATAGCAGGATGCCAGCGAGGTTCCCAACTGAAGACGGCAGATCCGACGGAATATTTAAGGCAACGTCTGTCCCCAACAGGATAGCAAAGGCAGGTCTTTCTGGATCTCATTTTTCCTGGGGACATCACATTCATGCAAGTCCTCCAAATGGCGCACATCCTGGAAGGCCCGTGAAGATATTTAAATATAACTTGGAAACCAAAAATGTGGCTATGCCACTTGTCCTTTTCCAGATCTGTGGCATACAGTTACCCTCTTATCCTGCAGATGTTTTTTTCCCCTCCCGGAATCATTCATACCCATTCAGATTTAGGTATCTCTCTCCCTAGTATATAATACGCTCCTTGCATTTGTCAGGAGAAACAGGCATGGGTTGGTTTTTTTTAATTGAGTAACTTTGATACTGGCAGAGTTTCGTGACCACCTGCAGGAAGAAGGAGATACAGTAAGTACAGAAATAATAGATCATTTTGTACCCAGGGTGTGAGCTCACAGTCCCATGCTCCCACTCTGCTTAATACCATCCTTTGCACACCGCTAAATCATTAATAATTTTATTAGCAGTGAGGAAAGCAGATCTGGATTACCTCTGATTTGAGCCACTCTCATTAAATGTACTCTCTCATCACAGAGTTCTGGGAGAAGATTGTCGGGAAGGGTGGGGGGGAACGACAGAAAGAGGAATATGTGGCTGTTGCAGTACTTCCCTGTCGTAGAACCTCTTGTTCCAAACTGGCAAGGCCCTGTTTTATTTTAGGGAGAGGAATGAAGCTGGACTGCGACTGTCCATTGAAGGCAAATAAATTCAATAATAGCATTGAAGGGAAACACTTCCAGGACTGCCCTATGCACGCTGTGTGGTTTGTGCTTTTTCATGTCTGAGGAACATAAACAGTTGCTGTTAGAAAAGAAATGCCAAGATAGTATAGCATCATCCCAGGTTTGGACTGGGTGGGATGGGATATAGTTCTCATGAATCCACCTCCAGACTCCTCTCCGGATGCCAGTTCGGAGGAAAAGGGCGAGTTTGAGTCTGCAGAGGAAAACACGGAGCTGAGTGTCGGTCAGGATCGGGGCTTGGAGAGTGCTAGCCTGATGGAGCAGGAGGGACAGTCTGAGGCTGAGCCACAGCTACAGTGAGTTGGCCAGAGGGCACCAGGCCAGGACCGGGAGCAGCTATCACCTGTTAGCAATGAGGAGCTGGAGTTCACACCTCCTGATCCAAGGATATGTAGAGCAGAGAGGAAACAGGCATAATACCAGTCAGTTAAACTACACGCGAGGAGGCAGCACCACGTTGCCTACTTAATCTCGCCCTGAGGACTTGAGCATTGCTGGAGCAACGTGCCCTGTTCTGTGCTTGTGTGCTCGTGCTGTGTATCCTGATGTGTTCGACTCCTGGACTGCTTTCCTGGACTTTGCGTGTGCCCATTGGACTCGGTTACCCAGTGACTCTTGCCGTGCTGAGTTCCGAATCTGGACCTGCGCAATGGGGGACCTGTTTGAGGGGTTTGAATAAACACCTGTAGAACTCTTACTGTATGTGTGTGTGTGTGTGTGGCACAGTAGTCTGGATTCTCCGGAGGGAGGGGCTTCTTTCCAGAGGACAAAGAGGTAGCGGATTCTGTCTATAGAAGAAGAACAGTAAAGGAAACTTCACATGTCGTTCTTGGTTCTTGGGGCCTGGCATCAATCCTGCAGGACTAAAACAACTATTGCATCACTATAGATCTACTCTGGGAACTGCTAGGGAGGAGCCTCCTTTGCGCTCTTCCTGCTTACCAGACATTCCAAGTTCCGCTGCCTCTGAAAAGCAGCCCCTCCCTCCTGGGAATCCAGACATCATTCCACCACACTGGGAGACAATATATGATCCATAGGCCTTTGTTCCTAATGACAGGAAACGGTCGTAAAATGGATGTCATAACCTTACAACTTAGCCCTACTCCTTTGGGATTGTATTGTGGCAAGTACATAAGGTGTGTGTGTGTGTGTGTGTGTGTGTATGTGTTGTTTTATGTATATATGTTTTATATATAAACACAAATACACATACACACACGAGAGAGAGAGAGAGAGAGAGAGAGAGAGAGAGAGAGAGAGAGAGAGTTCTCATACTTCCTGGACACTTTTCTTCTTGTGAGTATTTTTTCCCCAGGAACTAGAGTATGGAATTTATGTTGAAAGTATTTGAGTAAGAATAAAAGGAGAGAGAAACAAAAGTAATTTTATTCTGGGAGATTATTATACATCATCTAGGCAGGCAAAAGATATCAAGGAGATTTTTCAGCTTCAAATGACCAGATATTCAAAGAGATTCCATGGATTCCAATTATCTTGGTACCTGCTGGGAATCTAAATCTGTCAAGAGTCAGAGGTCCAGGCCCGGCCATTTTTGGACATAAACTTCACCAACAGGAAAGGCTTAGTTGAAGATATGCGCTCGGCCCTTTGAGAGAAAGTAATCATTTTATTGTGGAGCTGCATAGTCGATTATGGGTTCAATCGTAAACAATTCCCTCTCAGGAAAGAAAAATGGGGGAAATATAAAGAGGCTATTATGGATACACACAGGTAGTTCTTGACTTAAAACACTTCAGTTCATTTGAAGTTACAATGGCTTTGAAAAAAAGTGACTTATGACCGTTTTTCACACTTAAAACAGTATCTCAGGGGCTGCCTCAAAGAAGAGGGAGTCAAGCTATTCTCCAAGGCGCCTGAAGGCAGGACAAGAAGCAACGGATGGAAACTCATCAAGGAGAGAAGCAACCTGGAACTAAGGAGAAACTTCCTGACAGTGAGAACAATTAACCAGTGGAACAACCTGCCTCCAGAAGTTGTGACTGCTCCAACACTGGAAGTTTTTAAGAAGAGACTGCACAACCATTTGTCTGAAATGGTATAGGGATTCCTGCCTAAGCAGGGGGTTGGACTAGAAGACCTCCAAGGTCCCTTCCAAGTCTGTTATTTTGTATTTTGTGTCCTATTCTATATTCAACTATTGCTATCATACAATTTGGCATCCCCAGCCAGTTATGAATCCATCTGGTCTGGTGATTGTCTATCCCTCATTTTTCTAGCTTACCAAGTTGTGCTCTACTTTGTCAAATACCTTATTGAAGTCCAAGTATGCTATGTGCACAGCGTTTCATTGGTCCACTAATTTAGTCCTTTTATCAAAAACGGATGTAAGGTTTGTCTGACACAGTCTGTTTTTAACAAACTCATGCTGGCTTCTAGTAATCACCGTGTTCGTTTCTTGGTGTTCATGGATCCTCTGCTTGATTACATTTTCCAGGATTTTCCCATGTATTCATGTCAACTGATTGGCCTATAATTTCCTGGATCCATTTTTTCCCCTTTTTGCTGATTGGGACCACATCAGCTCTTCTTCAGTCCTCTGGTAGTTTCTCTGTGCAAGGGTTGCTTGGAAAATTGACATTCGGTGGTTCTAAGATGATGCTAGTTCCTTCAAAAACCTGGGATGCGAACCATCTGGTCCAGAGTGGATAGAAGAGGTATACAGGTCAAAATAGGCCAAGAAATGGTAAGAGGATACATCTTAATGTATCTTGTCTATTTTGACTTGTATATCCATTCTATTTCTCTTGGTGCTACTGTTGATAGGTTGAGCTATTTAAAAATAGATGTGAAGAAGGAATTAAGCAGTTCTGACTGTCTCCTTGGCATCTACTCCCATTAGTGGCCCTATCATTTTCTTGACTTTCTTCTTGTTCTTTATATATTGAAAGATACTTTTTTTTGGTTATTTTTGGTGTTAGTTGCCAGTTCATTTTGGGTTTTAGCCTTCCTGACTCCCTCCTTGCAGAATCAGAATAGAGCTGGAAGGGACCTTGAAGGTCTTCTAGTCCAACCCCCTGCTTAGGCAAGAAACCCTATACTATTTCAGACAAATGGTTTCCCACTCTTTTTATTTATTTTATTTATTTATTTATCGAATTTATACCCCGCCCTTTTCTTGAAAACCTCCAGTGTTGGAGCATTCACAACTTCTGGAGGCAAGTTGCTCCACTGGTTCATTGTCCTCACTGTTAGGAATTTTCTGCTTAATTCCAGATTGCTTCTCTCCTTGATTAGTTTCCATCCATTGTTTCTTGTCCTGCTCTCTGGTGCTTTGGAGAATAATTTGACCCCCTCTTCTTTGGGGCAGCCATGTTTAGTTGGCAGCATATAGGTAGTCCTTGACTTAGGACCACAGTTGAGCCCAAAATTTATGTTGCTAAGTGAGACAAGGGTTACGTGGATTTTGCCCCATTTTACGACCTTCCTAGACACCGTTGTTAAGTGAATCACTGCGGTTGATAAGTTAGTAACCCAGTAGTTAAGTGAATCTGGCTTCCCCCATTGACAATAGAATAGAATAGAATAGAATAGAATAGAATAGAATAGAATAGAATAGAATAATGGAAAGAAGAATAGAATAGAATAGAATAGAATAGAATAGAAGAGAAGAGAATAGAAGAGTAGAGTAGAGTAGAGTAGAGTAGAGTAGAGTAGAGTAGAGTAGAGTAGAGTAGAGTAGAGTAGAGTAGAGAATACAGAATACAGAATACAGAATACAGAATACAGAATACAGAATAGAACCTTGGAGGTCATCTAGTCCAACCCCCTGCGCAACCAGGAAACCCTATACCATTTCAGACAAATGGTTCTCCAGTCTCTTCTTAAAAACGTTTACTGTTGGAGCATTCACAACTTCTGGAGGCAAGTTGTTCCACTGATGAGTTGTTCTCGCTGTTAGGAAATTTCTCCTTATTTCCTTTTTGCTTTTCTCCTTGATTAGCACCTGAAACTATCCATCCATTGCTCCTTGCCCTGCCTTCAGATATCTTTGGAGAACAGGCCTGCCCCAGTCTGATCCCTCAGGGAAGTAAAACTCTCAACTCCATTTGGTTGAGGCAAAAAGTCACTTTTACTGAGAGATGCTGGTGGCAGTAGAGTAAAGCGGAATCTAACATTCCTGCAGCCAAATACAGAACTAAAAGCCTCGGCTTCCCTTAGCCTCCCCCATGGTCCATCAGTCCAGCCTTGAAGATGCCAGCAGCCGGCACAAACTGGATTCCAAGACACTCTGTTCTTCCTCAATTGTCGATTCCCCCCTCCCAATTTCCCATCATCTATCTATATAAATAAAAATGTAAATGTTCGTTTGTTCAAAATCTTAAATCTCCGAAAGTTCTTCACCGATTGCTTTGAAATTTTGATACAACATTGCATTCGAATACGTGCGTGTTTTTATATACCTACATTATATAGATGTCACACCTGTGACAGGTAAAAACATGCTTTTTTTGAAAAACAGCACCATCTGTTGGATGCTTTGAAATTGCCATTGAACGTGCAACTCATTGAAACTCCCACGTGCAACATTTCCAAAGCATCCGGCATGAGAAAAGTATTGAAGAAATGCAAACTTATTGTTTGGGATGAATGCACAATGGCGCATTGAGACTGAGCCACAGCAGCGCGTGGCCGGGTACAGCTAGTAAAGATATACAGCTCTATTGCCATTTGTTCCCCCTTCCCTTCCCCAAAGGATGACAGAACGCAGGCAAGGCCCCCAAGGGCTGGCTGAGGAATCCTGGGAATTGAAGTCCACAAGTCTTAAATTGGCCAAGTTTGAAAGACCCCTGGTTAATTTTCCAAGTGTTGTTCCTCCTCCATCATGAGTGGCTCAAGTGGCAGCAGTGACTTTGGGCATAGAAGGGATTGAGTTTCCACTTGCATTAAGCTACAATGGAAAATTGGGTGAATGCGGTGACCAAACCTGGACGCCGTATTCCACCTCCCATCCTAGGACTTGTTTCTGGTCCCCCCCACCCTCCTCTCCTTCCTTCTCTGAGCCTGTTTCAATTTCTCCGAAACCATCTTGTAAGCCCGGGGACAGAGGGCTCGAGTGTTAATCTACCCACAGCGAATCAGATAATTGTTGCCTTCAGGTTGACACTATTCTCCATTCATGAATGGAGAGGCAAGATTCTCAGGGAGCTTCATCAATCACTCTTAACGCCAGGAAAAAAGAGAGTCTGGAGGCAGAATCTT